ATAGGGGGGGGGGGGGCACAAACACTGAGTCTACAATGCTGTATTGGCAACTTTTGTATTTTCAATTAGAAGTTAGGTTCTTTATTAATTATATGGAAAATGTTTTTTTGTTTGTTTTGCTGCATTGTCTTAAATGAGCTTGTAGTATTATTAAAAGATTAAAAGTCTTTTTTTTCTCCCATTTACCTTAGAGTAGTTTTAGTTTAGTGTTATTTGGTTGTCTCTAATATGTCTGGACATATTCCAGACTGTCTGGATTAATATTTTAATTAAAGGACACAGGTAATAATATCTAAGTAAATAGAACCTTTCCAGTCATTTCTGTAAGAGTAAAATTAGATTTAGTTTAGCAGACATTCTGACATGAAAATTAATGAAAGCCAGTAAACCTGGTGTCAAACTCCCCTTTATTTGTAACAGTTTGTTTGGACTAAAAGATAAGAACTTATACACAACTGCTAATATATGTAAGAAGAGATTAGAAATATAATGAATCAAGAGTCTGCTTGTAATTTGATTGTGAAGCTTTAGGAAAAAAAGATTTTCCACTCCTACCCTAATCATGGGAAAGGAGGGCATTTCATGAGTAGGAGTTGAGGGACATTTGGCTGAGACATCTGTCACTTTATTTATTGTCACAATTAATTCAACTGCTGTGGCTGCTTAAACAGATAACTTCTTTTTATGTTACTGCTTTCACATTTACCCTGAGTTCATTTCATGAAAGAGTTCACCTCCTTCCTGGATAGAGTGAGAACATTCTCTGTTGAAGGGTAGGTATGCAAATATCTGCACTCTCTTGATAGACTCCCCCTCTTTTGCTGTAAAGACTAGTCATTTGTAATTGTCAGCTGTCAGTTATAGGTGTCAGCATTGGTTTAGAAACCTGTAAAGCAAAGGAAGTCTGAGAAAAGCAAAACTTTAGTACCTTCTCCAGTTATAGGAGCCATTGAGGGGCTTTGCCTACTCTGAAGCAATACTAAAAAATGGTGAGATATTCCCTACCCCCCAACTTCTCAAGCAACTATTTTTGAGAGATCCTAACTCCTTCTTTCCATAATCAGTTTACGTACAGTTTTAACAAATTCTAACAGTACTTAAGCTTAATAGGTCATAAATTCAAACTATATGATAATAATATTTTCTTTAGAATATGAACTTTACTATTTTCTGCCACTCATTCATAACCAATGTGGATAATTAGCAGTGCAGAGAACTCTACAATATCTGAAAGCTATTCTAAATTTATAGATCAAGTATAACAGAGTCAAAATTTTCTTAAATAACTGGTATAATGCTAATTCATTTGAATAGATTTGATATGATATATATTTATTCTTTGTTTTGGTCAGGAAGCCAGGACAAATCCCCTTAATCTAGCTGAATCAAAGCAAATACAGCTGATTATAAAGCTGATTAAGGCAGGGACCCTCTCTCTCTGCCACCATATCCTCTCCCATCTTTTACTTTCTCCTTTCTCTCTCTCATTCTCCTTTTGCCTTTTCGTTTTTATGAAATTTTACATTTTCTCATATGCTTTGCCTTTGTGTTCCTATGTATGAATACATCCACCTTAGTTCTTTATGGACCTCTAGTGCAAGAGCATTATGAATCTGGAATACCTTTGTACCTAGAGAAACAATTCAGTTGTCTCAGCTGTTTCCCTCTGCTCCAGGTAACTGTGACCAGTGGGTAGTTTATATAGCGGCTCACCTTTTACTCAGCAGAAACTATGAGATCAGACTCCATGAGAACAGGAGATAACGACTATTTTCATTTAAAGAATATAATGTAGAAAATAGCTATAGGTAGTCAAGTAACTTTTCTCTTGGTAGGAGGGCATCTACTTTAAGTTTTTAAAAATGATGCAGGAGCTTTCCAGGACTTGAATAATTGAGTGTTTCTATTAATATAGCAATACGAGTAGGCTATGACTAAATGCTATTTTCTACCATTATTATTTGACTCTTTTTATTGAAGGACTTATAGAACAAAGTCTTTTCCTGTAAAATAACGTTAGAATATAATCATTAAGTATTTAGGTGTTACGGAGGAAGTGGTATTTCATAGTGGTTAAGATTTGGGACTCTGAGTCAGACTAATCCTAGCTCTACCACTTGCAAGCTGTATGACTATCCACTCCTTGAGCTTTAATTTTTTTTAAATCTGTAAAATAGCAATGACAATAGTATTTGCCTCAAGGGTTATTATAAAGTTTAAATTATAATCATGTAAAAAGTCTTAGCACAGTATCTCATACGTATTCAATTAGTGTTAGCTATTGTTGTTAGCTTTCTTTTTTTCAGTGAAAAGTTTATTAGTCATCTCATTTGCATAACTGCTTGCTTATCTGACCTATGATCTTTGCCTCAACTGCCTGAAAGATTCACTGAAGGTATAGGATATAAATTTAGCTATTTGACCTTAAAAGTTACATTTTAACAGCTTTCTTAAGCTCTAGTTGGTCTATAGCAAACTATACATACTAAAAATGTATACTTAGATAAGTTTATACCACAATTTATGCATTCATTTACCTGACATTTAGGTTGTTTCCTGTTTTTTTGGATCTTACAAATAAAGCTGCTATGCACATTCATGTACAAGTTTTTGTGTGTGCATAGGCTTTTTTATCTTGGGTAAATACCCAGTTGGAGAATAACTGGATCAGATGGTGGGTATATGTTTACTTTGCTTAAAGAAACTTTCACATTGCTTTCCAAAGTAGTACCATTTTACATTCCTACCAGCAGTGTGTGAGAATTCCATTCCACATTCTTTTTTTTTTTTTCTTTTTAAAAAATATATCTTTATTGATTTCAGAAAGAGGAAAGGAGAGGGGGAGAGAGAGAGAGAGAAACATCAGTGATGAGAGAGTCATTGATTGAGCCCGAAACCCAGGCATGTGCCCTGACCAGGAATCGAACCCCGGTCGATTGGATCCCAGGTCAACGCTTAATGGCTGAGCCACGCCTGCCCGGGCTCCATTCCACACTCTTGCCAACACTGGGTATGGTCAGTCAGAAAGCTACTTTTAAAATTAGTACTCTTTCATATATTTTTTTCATGTTGTTATAAACATATCATATAAGGATTATTTGGAAGAGGTATAAAATATACCTTTATATACCTAAATCTTTAGTTGTACTGAAGTCTCTTTATTGGAAAGGTAAGAGATGGTTTACTAAAAATATTGGAAAATCGGGGGAGATACAGTTCTTTAAGAAGCTAATTTTACACTGTTTTATATGTATATATATATTTCCCTTTGATAGAGTTTTCCAGAAAAGGACCTCCTGCACTGTCCATCTAAAGACGCAGTTGAAGCTCATTTTATGTCTTGTGTGAAAGAAGCTGATGCTCTAAAGCACAAAAGTCAAGTAATCAATGAAATGCAGAAAAAAGATCACAAGCAGCTCTGGATGGGACTACATAATGGTAAATATAACTGTTTCGTTTCAGAATACCCTTTTATAAAGTATGAAGTCACTGTAATCTGTGAGTAATTGGTGCATCTTAGGATTGGTGGTATAAGTTTAGATTCCAATCTCTAAGCACAAAATTTTGCAAAGAAGCTACCTTCAGTCATCTCTTACATTGTACCCTTCCAACATTCCTGTCTTCCTGGATTCCCCAGCATTAGACTGATTGCTTTGCCTATAACATGACGGTAGAAACTTCCTGTGTTTAGCTTCTGGAAAAAGTGCCTTTCTCCTAATTATGATCCTTCTGGAATTGCAATTGATACCCTGTTTGCATACCAAAGTACCTCCATTTGGTTAGGGTATGAACTCCAACCTCTGTTTTCTCAGAACAGTAAGACTTGTTTTGTGCTTAGATTCTCTCTCCTGGCTGGGACTTAGAAAATGTACTCAAGGAAAAAACTGGGGACAATTTGCAATTTACTCTGTATTCTTCATCTTTTAGAGGTCATAGCTCCTTAATCTTTCCTGCACTGATTGCCCTCCAGTGCCTTCAAACAGTTCTGTGTACAGGAGGTCCTTGCTTTGCACAAGTCCAGTATGCATGAATTTTATAGTTAACATGTTTTAGTTAAATAACACCATTCCAAGTTGCCAAGAGATTAAATCTTAAACGTTCTCATCAAAAGAAAAAAATTTTTTGTAACTTTATATGGTGATTGATGATAACTAGACTATTGTGGTGATCATTTTGCAGCATATACAAATATTGAATTATTGTGTTGTACACCTGAAACTAATATAATGTTATATGTTAATTATACCCCAACTTTAAAAAAAAGAAATAAAAACAGTTTCCCAAGAATATGGTTCAAAATTTTACTATTTTTATTTTTTTTAATTTACCTTTATTGTTGAAAGTATTACAGATGTCACCTTTTTCCCTCATTGACCCCTTCCACTGGTTCACTTTTATTTGCCATGGTATATATTAACTGAATAATTACATAAAGTACAAACTTTATTGCTTGCTCTTTGGTCCATGAATCATTGTGCAACAATGCATATGTGTCATGATCAGTGATCAGTCAGTCACTTCACTTCTTTCAGTGTCTGTCAGTGAATCATCATTATGCATCTGTTATTTTCATCTGTAGACAGCAAAGCATATAGTTATGTTACCTCCTTGTCTCCTGTGATAAGCCCACAGAACGTTTTAAACACTGGATAATTAAAAGAGGGAATTGGCTAAGAAAGGTGAAAATGAAGCAAAGAAAGAAAAAGTGATAACCTTGGAAGCGAAATTTGAATAGAACTAATGGAATTATAGAAGACATTGCTGACTGTGAGAATGTGGACACTACCACCATTTGAGAGAGTTTCAATAGCAGCCACAGGAAATTAGTGAAGGTGAACTTTTTCACATAAATGTGGAAGGGGTTGTGATGAAAAGAATGAAGTTACCCCAGAGGAAGTGATGCTGGCAAAAAAAACTCATTAAAGGGACAGGGATATTTCATGATGTTGAAAGCGCAAATTGGTGGTATGTTAGAAATTGATCCAAACTTGGAGAGGAGTATGACAGTTCACCATGGTTTATGAAAGATGCTTGCTGGTAAGTTACATGTCCTGGAAGCAAGCACTATTCAAACATGCTTATGTATTTTTTTTTACAAAAAAATAAAATACTTTAATTCTCCATGTTCCTAATGTTTTAAATTACTGTGTACTAAATAAATACAGTATTAGTCGTATTTACTTTTTTCATTTTTCTATACATTGGTAACTGTCAGAGTTTTTTATGTTTTGACAGTTTTGTAAGGATCACAGAACAATTTAATTTTCCCATTAACTGTTAAGATCACTTTACATGTTCACATCTTGCAAGGTCACTTTTCCAGTCCCATACTACTATGCAAAGCAAGGACTGCTTGCATTCTGTCCATCTTTCAGAATTGTTTTTGGACAGGGAGTTAGTCCAGTATAAGGCACTCTTTCATAGCAACTATTAGAATAAAAATGAAGGCCCTACTCCCCCCCAAAAAACTATAATGTAAAAAAAAAAAAGTGATACAATTTTATCTTCTGGACTATATTATTACCATGTCAAAGAGGTGTTTAATAGTATTAAACTTTCATTATGCAAAATATAGAGTATTATCTGACTCGTATACAAAAGGCACATATTTTATGACACTGTACTGTAAATTAAGTTTTCTCATTTCTTTTAAGTTTCTTAGATTTGACCTGAGTTACATGGAGTTGCTCCTTCGTTTCATATTTGTACCTCTGGTATTTAGCAACTAGATTATTTCAGAGGCAGGCACCAGGCCTTTCACCTCATTTATATTACTGAATACACAAATTTTTATTAAATGATCAAGAGTTTACAATCCCTTAAGGTATACTTTTCCTGTTTCCTTGCTGGCTATTTGAAGATGAAGTGACATTTTAGGAAACTTGTGAATCAGGTTACCTAAATGGAAGAAGCCAGGAATCTTCCAAAGAGAAAAGGGATCTGAGAATAATTTGGCTTCAGAATTGAAGTAAATAATTTAAATGTATGTTCTTGAACTCTGTTGTGAATGTGATGAGTCAGCAATAGAGAGTTTATCCCTAGGCAGAGGATTCTAAAAAAGATTGAAATGTTTCTTTTGAGGCATTGGAGAATTGGGTATGGAGGGTGATGATTAACAATTGTGAACACAAAGGCCTGGTTTTTAGTTATCAGTTCTGCTAGTAGCTTCTTAGGGCAAGTCACTCAGTTCTTTTAGCTTCAATTTCTTTATCTGTAAAACAAGAGAATCTCTGTTTCTCTTACAGGTGTCTCTAGAGGCTTTAGTGAAACACTAACATACTGGGTTTTGTTGTTATTTATTTATTTATTTATTATTTTGTTGAGAATATTACAGATGTCCCCTATTCCCCCCCTTACCCCCCTC